CAGTATATATATATATATTTATGTAACAGTGGTTAGCAGTCACTTCACAGCATGAAGGTTCCAGGTTCAAGCCCCGGCCGACCCGATGCCTTTCTGTGTTTGTGTGTTCTCCCTGTGACTCTAAATTACCCGTACGAGTGAGTGTGGTTGTCTGTCTCTAAGCGTTGGCACTGTGATAGACTGCTGACCTGTCAAGGGTGTACCCTGCCTCTCACCCAATGTCAGCTGGGATTGGCTCCAGCCATCCCCTTCCCCCGACCCTCTTCAGGATAAGATCATTGATGAATGGACTGCTACTCTTACTTAAGTAAACAATCTGAGTACTTCTTCCACCACTGGAGAGTGGCATCAACCTTCTCATCTACTTTTTAATCAAAACTGCAAAACTACAAAAATGATCATAACAAGCCTAAAATAAAACCCTCATGCGTTGTATGTATGTAATCACAGAATATAAACTCTTCTTATGTAATCAAACCTCTGATGGATCAAATGTGTTAAGAAGTCTTATTGGTAGTGACAGGTCTGGATGAAAACAGTGGCAGAGATCCCTTTTTAATTAATTTTGGGTGCAATAATGGTGCACAATGGGTGGCCCAGTCAGTTGTAGCCTGATTCAGTTGTTAAAACTCAGACGTTTCAGTCCTGTAAAATCACTTTCTTACATAACGTCTGAGAAACATTAGGTAACAACTGAACTCTGACTGCACATGAAAGGGCGGCTCCACAGCCAGTTTTGATGTTTTAAATGTAGAGAAGGATTTCTGCAGCACCCCTTGGATATTTTCCAGCATAATGAGTGGAGCTGTGCACATGGGGTGGGATTACAGAGGAACATTACCCACATACTTCAGGTCTGTGGAGTGGGAAGGGTTCCAACCAGTAGACTGTGGTCCACTTTGTACATTGTCTTTAGGATTAACTGTTGCCCAAGCTCTTGTAATGCGATGCAATACGTCTGGGGCCCTGATTAAAAGACACCCACATAGGTTTAACAAGTAATTGAGTACAGTTCACTATTCTTGACAGTCTTTCTTTTGTAACCCTCCTGTTACAAGAGTTGTATGTTCACAGAATAAGACTGTGTTGTCTGATCATAACACACGGGTTTACTGAGAGGAGACAATGGTGTAAAGGAACTACTGTTTTTTATCTATCTATTCTTAACACCCTGTTGCTGACCGTCATGCTTTTGATAAGCTAATTTATTTATTTATTTGGACCTGGTGTGGAAATCAAATCACAATGTGTTCATGGGACTTTTCCTGGGAACAAAAAGTACAGTACCAGGAACTTTCCAGTAGAAATGCACTGTAATAGATTGATTTACAGTTGCCATAATCAATATTTTATATTAACAATGGGTCAAATTGTCACATGTAATGTAAACAGGATCTTGTAGTAACAAGCTGCCAAAGAAGCATTATCATCAAACTGTGCAGTTCACATCAGTCCCGAGTGGTAGTGTGTAATACTGCACAAATAGTACTACTGCATTGTTCTCGCCACCTATTTTGTACTTGATCAGTAGTAACAAAGAAATTTTACAATTAAAATTATATTTTCAGTTTTTAAAAGCGAATAAATAAAGCCATTAATAAAATGTATCTATTGGAAAACATCTGTAGAGCAAACAGATGAAATCTGGTGTTTTCTCAAAAAAGGTTTATATAGAGATTCACTGTATAAAAACAAGCCGTCAGTCCTCATTTCTGAGGGCTAAAGCCACCAACCTGCAGTTAACTAACACTGTGGTTGCAGGAGGGGCCCGTCTGGCATGCAACAGTACAACCTTGCAAGCAGGATTATGTTTTAATAAGCTTATATAAACACCCCCACAGTGCTGTCTCATTATGGGAAGCTAATTGAGTTGGTCTGTCCAGGGGTCAGCAGGGCCTCTCTGAGCAGCTCAGTGTTTTGTTATGAAGAGGCCCAGCTCTGCCTCCAGAGCATCTGTCCTGTGGTCTGAGGAACATGTGTCTTTCCTTCAGGCAAACTGTTTGGATGTGTATGTCTTTGTATCTTTCCATTTACATGTGTACAATGTATACTGCACACAGTTGCTTTGATTGTTGCCTTTCTTTCTTTATTAGGATCCCCTTTAGCACCAGCTTAAGCATCAGCTATTCATCTTGGGGTCCACCACACGTACAACCATATACAGGCTACAGAAAAAAAGAGAAGAGAATTAATCTGTCACCTTAACAGGACAAAAACAAACACAGTTCCTTATGAAACGTATAAAACATTCAGTTTTAATAAAAATTTGTCCTTTCTATAATAGCATACATGTAATATATGGTACAACACATCGGTGAACACTCCGCTGCACATGTTTCCTCATTAGCAAACCCTGGGATCAAAGCATGAGGAGCTAGCAGAATGTAAACAAAGCTGAGTGCTCACACAAGGTCTCACACGTGTGCAATTGACTCTGATTCGTACTAACTTAAGGAAATTATGGCTGCTCTGAGACTTTGGGGTAGCACAGTGAGTCTGGGACTTTGCAATGAAGAAATACGTCGCCCAGTGCAACGGTGTGTTTCCCTGATGTGTTTGCAATCATGAACAACAACAGAGGTGTATCACACAGATGAACAAGCAAATCCAGGTGACAGAATGACAACTATTAACCGTGAGTAGAGGCAATTCATTGTTGTTTTTAGTCTTTGTGTGGAGTTTGTTTATTTAGATTTTTTTTTTCTTGTGCTGAAACATCGCTCCTGGAACACACCTCCAAATGTGGCACACTGTTGCCGAAATAGACACAGAATGCATGACGAGTTTTAATTGGTGCGCCACGTTTTGGTAGTTTCCTATGATAAAAAAAAAAATCCTCTGGTTACAACATACCACTAGTACCAGTAGTCTTAATGAGATCTTGTCCTGGTTCATACATTTGTGATACGTTCCTCGATAAAGCCATGACAGAAGCCTTCTGCTACTGTACAGCTCTTAAATAGCAGCTATTTGAGTGCATTTAAAATAATTGCTCTGAGATAAAAATTAAAAATATAAATAGTTTTGAATGGATTTATGTTTCCAGTCAGACAGATTCCACTGTTCTTCATAGTCTTCATAGGGATTCCTTTAGTGATAAATGTGGAGCATTAAACAAAACGTGTCATTTCTAGCAATTCATGGAATCTCTTGTTTCATTTATAAGCATGCACACACCTGCATGTTTGTGCTTGTCACGCGTACCCTTTACAATATATTGTTTTAAAAAGAGATAAACACAGGAGAAGGTTGTGTAATTTCACTGTTCATGACTGAGCACACTGCTGAAAAGACAATTAACCAGTTACAAATAGAAGGAGATGACAGATGTGACTGCATATCTTCTCCTTATCTACAGCTTTGCTACACAATAAAGAATTTCCACTGAGAATTGTAGTTAATAATTGATTTTAAT